TCTGGATGAGTTAGGAAGGGTTAGGATAAAGTGCTTCCCCCTGCCTTTAATTCTCTGGCTATTTTAACAGCTACTTGAAAGAGGGGTGAGGGGTGACCTGCTCCTCTAGCAAGATTCCTGAGCCCCTAACATTCCAAGCGCACAAGTGGTTAAAGTAGAATCAACCCATAAGAGTAGACATTCTTTTGAACTATGTTACAGTGCTTCATCCTCTGCAGGAAAAGAATTCACAAAAACACCAACCTTGAATTAATGTGATTTATTTTCCTATCCTCTGCCAATAACATTCTACTTACTAGGTAAGTTGTTCCCCATCCTTGGGATCCCATGGTTGGGAGAAGACGTCTGGGTCCCATGCCGAGGAGCTCTCACTGATAGATGAAAAGCACAGCTGCCTCAGTTGTCTCCAGCCTGTTGCTAAAACTAGCACGAGTTCTGTATCTATGCCAATCAAAACCACAGAAATCCCCCCAAAACTGCAAGGGGTCGACCCTGGGGAGAATCCTTCTCCACCAATGCAGTGCTGGGAAATAAGGAGAGGGAGACATGGTCATGAGAGGTCTGTCAGTGAGGCCAACGACATCTTAGTGGGACTCTCTGGTCCTCATCAGACTTTCCACTGGCAGCGTTGATCGATTCCTCACGTAAAAACCTCTCTTCCTTTAGCTCTAGTGATTTCATTACCTCATGGCTTTTCTTCAACTTCTCTGAACATTCATCCTCAGGTTCCTTGGCTGGGTTCTTCCTTCATGAATTCCGTAAGTGTTGTTCCCTAATAGAGGACACATCTCTCTCTCCCTTGTAGATTGCATGACCCCTTTGGCTTCAGTTACTAAGAATTAACTCAAGGCCCCCAAATCTCTACTTCCAAACCAAATATTTCTTGTGCTGAAGACCTCAAAATCCGGCTGCCACCTGGATGTCCACACAAGTACCTCAAGCTCTACATGACCAAAGGAGAGTCCATCATATCCCTCTTTACCCCAAAACCAGTTCATCAAGCAGACATCCTGACTTGATAAATGACCATCAGTCACCCGAATGAAGATCATGGGGCTATTCTAAACTTATTCCCTTCCCATCGTCTGTATTCAACCGGTCACAAATTTAAAATCTTTAGGATTCATCATTACCCACCATTCATCCCCAAGCACACTGCTCTACTTCAGGCTTTATCTGGGCAATTGAACCTAACTCAATACTGGTCTGCTTGTCCCTACTAAAGTACGTCACCACTGTGCAAACAGCATGATCTTCGTAAAATATAAAGATGACCAGGTCAGTCTTCCCTTTAAATAATGTTCCCATCATCTACAGCATAAAGTCCAAAATCATTGTCATGATGTAAAAAGTCCCTCCATGACCTGGCTCCAGTTACATGGCCAACATCAGCTCCTGCCTCTACCTGACATACGTCCCATGCTCGAAATTTACAAAACAGCTTCCTGCTCCTACAACATGGCATGCTCTCTCTAACAGTAATGATTTGGAATGTGCTCTTCCCTCAACTTAAATTGCACTGATACAGCCTAAACTTTTGGACACCACTCAAGACATAGCTCAGAAGTTACCTTTCCTGCAGTTGCTACCCCTGACACCCCAGCAGAGTCAGGGCTCCTATAGCCCCTCATTAATATTTCTATATACCTTGGATGCATCAGACTACAATTGTGTGTTTGTGTGAATGCCTGTCCTACTACCTACTGAGCAAGGAACATGCCATATTCATGTCTCCCACAGCAGCACAGCATAGGTGCTCACTGCGTGCTTTGTTGAGGTGCATGCAGGCACATGTACACACTATATTATATTACACATGCTTTGGGCCACGGTTGAAAGGACCCATGAGAGCCAGGTTGTCACAAAGAGAAGGAAGGCACAGAGACCCACTTGTTTAGTGTCCCCACACTCATCATTCCCCCATCGGATCCCAGGTCCTCCTAGGCAGCAAAACTGCCTCATCCTGAGTGAGAGAGGGACAAGCTGATGGCTGAGGAAAGAAAAACAGGATCTTCAGGGTCAACTGCTGGCAGCTAAGTCTCAGAATACATGGCTCTTGACCCCCACCCAGTGGCGATAGGTGGTAACTGTGACCAAATAACACCAAGATGCAAAAAATCAGTCACTCCCTCTAGCAATATCAAACATTATATTAGATCTCCAGACCAGAGAGAAGATGACAAGTCTCCAGAAATCAGTCCTGAGGACACAGAATATATAATCGAAATGACTAAGAATTCAAAATACTATCAAAGATAGACATGTTGAAATGCTCCAGATAGTGGAGAGAGAACTAAGACTAAAAATAAGTGAAAAAAGTCTCTGAGAAATATCTGATTCAGGAAATGCAACATAAGAATCATAGGTATTCAAGAAGGAGAAGAGAAGCAGAATGAAGTAGAAAGCTTGTTCAAAGAAATAATAGCAGAGAACGTCCCAAACCTAGGGAAGGAAATGGAAATCCCTGTGGAAGAGGCTATCAGATCTCTTAAATATGTCAATGTAAAAAGACCTACTGCAAGGCAGATAGCAGTGAAACTGGCAAATGTGAATGACAAATGACAAATGACAAAGAATACTAAGGGCAGCAAGGCAGAAGAAAATAACCTACAAAGGAACCCCCGTCAGGCTTACAGCAGATTTCTCTGCAGAAAACTTACAGGCTAGGAGAGACTGGAATGGCATGTCAAATCTTTGAAGGACAAAAGCTTTCAGCCAAGAATACTCTATTCAGTGAAAATATCCTCAGATATGATGGAGAAATAAAAACTTTCCCAGACAAACATAAGCTAAGGGAGTTCATAGCCACAAGACCCCCCCCACAACAAGAAATCCTCAAGAAGGCCCTCATACCTGAAAAAAAAAAAAAAGGAGAAGAGGGTTACAAAGCACGGAGTAAGGAGTTAAATGGGCAGACAGAATAAGAGCAGGGTTGCCAGCACTCAAGTACAGCATGTAAGAGAAAGGGAAGGAAAATAGCAAAAACAAAGATAATCTCGTCATTTTAACCAGAAACTCATAACACAAGGTGGAATAAGATGTGAAAGAAACAACTTAGGAGGGGAAGAGGAAAAGGACTGAATCGATTTAGTCTAAGGAAATAAGAGGCCATCAGAAAAGGGACTATCTCATCCACAATATTTTGAATACAAACCTCATGGTAACCACTAAAGAAAAAAGCAGAACAGAGACACAAATAATAAATAAGGAGAAAACAAAGAAACACAACATAAGCAATTACATATCTCGACTGGTAGACCAAAATACACAGGATGAGAAACAAAGGAAATGCAAGAAAACTGGAAAACAAGTGATAAAATGGCAGCATTAAGCCCTCATATATCGATAATCACCCTAAATATAAATGGATTGAATGCTCCAATAAAAAGACACAGAGTAGTGAGTTGGATTAAAGAACAAGACCCAAAAATATGTTGCTTCCAGGAAACACATCTCAGCTCCAATGACAAACACAGGCTCAGAGTGAATGGATGGAGGATGATACTCTAAGTCAATGGCAAACAAAAGAAAGCAGGTGTTGCAATACTTATATCAGACAACGTAGACTTCAAGATAAGACAGGCAAAGAGAGACAAAGAGGGGCAATGTATAATGATCAAAGAGACATCCATCAGGAAGAAATAACACTTATAAATCTCTATGCTCCCGACACAGGCGCACCAAAATACATAAAGCAACTTTCTCCCTCTTCTCTAATTGTACCTTCTGATTCCAGCTGCACCATGGTGGTGACCCAGACGAGCAACCGTGGAGATCCTGGGAGGGTTGTGGAGGATCCTTGGGGTTACACTTGATAATTCTTTACAAACTTACCCAGGAACAGATTGTTTTCTAGATTTTGCAGAATCAAGTATTTATAAATCAAACAATCGTTCTTTTTATTTTTCTGTCTCTCATAGCAGAACTTTACTGCCTAATTATCCTAAAGTGCTGCCTTGGCAGGGATGACTGGCCCCCAAATTTGTGCTCCCTTCCAAGGTGAAGAGTTACTGCTGGCAAGCAGCTGTCCAGCCACAGACCCCGGGTCTCAGTGTCTAGTGCACGTGGGAGGGACCATGTGACTAGTCCTCACCAAAAGATCTTGAGCAGAGGTGATGTGTGTCACCTCTGGCTGAGCCGGTGAAATTCCAAGTACATGGCCTTTCATCTCTCTCTTTGATTGTCATCTGTCTGCACGCAGAGGATCCGGCATTGATGACAAGGTAGAATCACAAGACAGAAGGAGCTTGGATCCTGAGTCACCATTTCAGAAGAGAGCTGCCCAGAAGAGCTGCCTGACCAGGAATATCCACTTCAAATTTTCGTGAGCGAGAAATAAACGTTAATTGTGCTAAGTTGCTGAGATTCAGGATTGTTTGTTACAGCAGCTAGAATCAGTTACTCTGACTCAAAAACTTTCTTCCTTAGAGTGAAGATGAGGGTGCAAAAGACAATGGGGGTAAAGGAGAGGACGGCCCCATTGGTCACATATGTAAGAAGAACACAGATAACTAGAAACCCAAGTGCCTAGAGTTCCATACTTCATATGTGGAATCAGCATCTCTAATTGTCCTGCCTAAAACCACGGTGCTCAGATCTAATACTCATCAAGCTGCAGTGTGCAGGCCTGCACAGAGGTTTAGAGACAAATGAGTGAGGGTCCTTTAAGTTTCTTGTGGCAGCAGAGTGCCTGCCAAATAGAAGCACTCGATAAACGTTTGTTGAATTGGATAGTTTGAGAGTCAGATGTGAAACGATTACTCACAATACGAGATAAGTGTCCAAGCAGGGCTAGGGGAACAGATGATAGAACAACCAGTTTCACTTACACATGTCAGTGGTTGGAGAAAAGCTCACAGTTTCTGGCTGTCTCTACAGAACAAACACACAGCACAGGGTTCCTTATACTTCTTGGGTAGAAATGAAGCCCACAGCTTGGGCCTCACCTCCTGTCAGTGCTGCTCTGGGAATTCCCAGGCCTCCCTGACTTTTCTGCTGGTGGTCCCATCCGAGTCACCCTTTGCCGGTTCCCTTTCCTCCTTCCTCCTCCCCTCTACCCCCTGCTGCATCCTCGCACTGCCCCTGCCAGCACCTCTGCTCTAGGAAGGCTGGGGCTTCTTGCCCTCACCAGGGAGATGTTCTTGCCTATTTCCCTGCTTGGCTGCCAGCCCCCACTGCTCACCAAGCCCTCTGAGCCCTGTGTTTGTCTTCTCCATCCTTTGATGAGAGGGCTGCACTGTGGCTCCTGGGACCAAGAGGGAGGAAACTGGCACCCCTCTCTCCAGCTGACTGTCATCTCTCCACTACTGCCTTCTGCTCACACTTTTCAAGTTCACTGAAGAGGCTCCCTGGGGAGCAGGCATTTGGCATGGCCTGTGGGCTCCCTACTTCTTACAAGAAGTCAGGCCTGGGTCCAAGGAGTCAATGCCTTTGAGATCTTTAGGGGGAGTTTGGGTTTAAAACACATTTTGATATACTCAAACATGTCTCATGATCTTGAAAATAAAAAGGTGAATCCACAGTATTCTGTAAAATTGGGGTGGAGGACGGGGCCGGTCCAGTGGTGCAGTGGTTAAGTTCACACATTCTGCTTTGGCGGCCCAGGGTTCATCAGTTCAGATATGGGGTGGGGACATGGCACCGCTTGGCAAGCCATGCTGTGGCAGGCGTCCCACATGTAATGTAGAGGAAGATGGGCATGGAGGTTAGCTCAGGGCGAGTCTTCCTCAGCAAAAGGAGAGGAAGATTGGCAGCGGATGTTAGCTCGGGGCTAATCTTCCTCAAAAAAAAAAAAAAAGATTGGGTGGAGGTGGCCCAGGGGTTCATTTCTCAGGCTGCTTCCTGATCTTGTCTTCTCAGTGGAGCAGTTCACCACTACTCACTTCGGCCCCTGGAGGGCACCAGAGACTGTTTGCTGTACAGAGAACAGCGCCTAGATGGAAACCAGACAGGTTCTGGGGCAGCATCAGCTGTGTGACCAATGGCCAGAGTCAGCGTTTGGCCAGCTCTGGAAGCCCAGGCACAGGCATATCCCTGCAGAGTTCTGCAAGGCAGGTAGATGATAACTGGGGTACCAGGACGATGACAGGACCCAGAAGGCAGAGTTCTAGCTCCAGCTCGCTATCAGCTAGCTGTGTGGCTTTGAAAAGTCACTTAACTTCTCTCGACTTTAGTTTCCTCTTATGTAAAAAGATGAGGTGGAAGGAGGTGACCCAAAAGGTGTCTTCCAGCTTTAGAGCTTTCAATTGCTCTGAGTAAGAAAAAAATGGGAAATGATAGAACAGCATGGATTCTTATTTCCTGGAACCTTTGAAAATGTCCCTGTCCTGGTCCCAGACCTCAGTGTGACCAGGAGCAGGCATGGCAAGATGGCTGGGATGGCAGTAATGTCAGAGCTGAATGACAAGGGAGGAGAATGAAGCTCAGGAGATAAATTGGGGTTGGAAATCTCATGAGGTCTCCCTAATCCAGGATCCTGGCCATGCTAGGAGCAGGATCTGGAGGAAGATCGGGTAACCTTTCTGTAACCATCCCCACTTATCCAGCTGTGTATGAAATAACAGCCATGAAGCACAGTATAACCCAGACCTGCTCGGTAGTGTTCAGCATCCCTCACCAGCCTGGCTGAAACATGGGTGGTCATCTCGATAGTACTCTGAGGCACAGATGAGCTTTCCTAGACAAGTCATTTCCACACTCGGGTTGTGCATGGTATTTTGGTTCACACCAACTCATTGGGGTAGGGAGATGAAATGCACATATGTAGCATTGTTCCTAAATAAATGAATGAAAGAGTGAGCACTGAGTGGGAGAGTCTTGGCTGTGAGGATAGTAAAGGCAATTCTGATCCACGCACAGCTCTTCAGAGTGTCAGTCTCTCGCTCCTGAGCAGAGAGAACACAGTGGCTGGTCAATGGGGTTTAGTCCCTGTCCCAAGTGGTGCTCGTATGTGGGTTAAACTCAGAGTCCAGGCTGTCACAAAGGACTCTAAAGAGACTGTGGCGAGTGGGGAATGGGGAAAGGTGGTGTCTTATGTTGCAAATGCCAGAGGGAGAAGTAGAGGCAGCATGAGATGTTCTGAATGCAGGGAAAAACATATTATCACTCTGTTGGGGCGATATCAAACATTTCACTCCTCGTCTTGCAGGGATGTCATGTGGGACATAGGTCAGTAAAGCAAGATGGCAGTGTGGGGAAGAGGATTACTTAGCAAGAGGCATCACGGCAGTGGATCCCTGGACGCCTTTCTGAGAGGGCACTGCCCTCCCAATTTAGAGTTCCCCACTCTCCCGAGGAGCCATAAAGAAGGCAAGGAAGGCAAGCACCCTGTCTTTGCTCTTGGCTTTGCCTCTTTCCAGAAAACCCCTTCCATCAAGGGAGCCACTGGCAGATAGGTCTACAGTGGAACGGGGTAGAGAGTCAAGGACTAAAGGGAAAGAATGCACAGAAGGCGTGGGTAGGCATGGAGGGCTGGCCTTCAGGCCTGGCTCCACTGCTTATGCTTATATGATCTTGGGAAAACCCCATAACCTCCCTGACTGATCCCTAGTTTCCTTACCTGCACAATGGGAACCATACTCAAACCTGCCTCAGAAGGTTCGCACGAGGATTAGGTGAGATGATGTAAACAAAAGGGCTTTGCAAACTATACGGGCATGGTAAGAAAATAAACTATTTTTATCACAACAGACAGAGGTGGTGTGTGTGTACCCAGAGCACCAGGATTCTTACTATTCTTGCTTGGTGGGTCTTTGGAGACCCCTGCAGCTTGCCAGAACCACTTCTACTGGGTGACTGCAGGTGGTAGGGAAGTAAGTTTCTGAGTGGGCTCAAGAGCATCCGTGTGTGGCCTGAATCCTTGCATTGTCACCCTAAGCCTGGTCTGGTCTGCAGAAATCACCTTTTGTACTGGGCTGGGAGGAGACATGGCGAGGTTCCTGCAAATTTTCTGCTCATTCTGTATATTAGCACAGGAGACCTACTTCTATTTTTGCCATGGTGACCCACAACTTAGTTGACAGCCAGCAGTGGTGACAAGAAAACTTTATTGCTTTGTAGCCCACAAGGCCATGAATGCCTCCCTGGTGCCAAGAAATCCCGATGCCATGGTCGTAGGTCCAGGCAATACAGACAGGCACAGGTGTGGACGCAGAGTCTGGAGGAAAAATCCTGGGGGTCAGACGAGACAACACAGTCCCAAAACACGTCTCTGAAAGGCTAGATTGGGTTGTCTTGTCTCAGTGCACCACCAGAGCCACTGGGATGTGCATCTGAGAATGATAATGAATATTTATTGAGAGTTCACAATTTTTATTGAGAGTGCCTGGAACCACTAGCACTTCACACGCATGATCTCATCATTTTCAAAGTTTTATTTTTTTTATTGTGGTAAAATACATATAGCGTAAAATTTGCCTTCTCCATTTTTAAGTGTACAATTCAATGGCATTAAGTGCATTCACAGCATTATGTAATCACTACCATGCCCCATCTCCAGAACCTTTTCATCATCCCAAACAGAAACAATGTACCCGTTAAAATATAATTCCCCATTACTCTCTCCTCCCGGCCCCTGGCAATCTCTGTTCTACTTCCTGTCTCTATAAATTTGTCTATTCTGGGTATCTTATATAGGTGGAGTCACGCAATATTTGTCCTTTTGTGACTGGCTTATTTCACTTAACATAATTCCTCAAAGTTCATCCATGTTGTAGCATGTGGCAGAATCTCATTCCTTTTTTTGTTTGTTTGTGTTTTTTTTTGGTGAGGAAGATTCACCCTGAGCTAACATCTGTGCCAATCTTCCTCTATTTTGTACGTGGGTTATTGCAACAGCAAGGCTTGATGAGTGGTGTAGGTCTGCACTGAAGATTCAAACCCATGAACCTGGGCCACCTAAGAGAAGTGCACTGAACTTAACCACTAGGTCACGGGCCGGCCCCCAGAATTTCACTCCTTTTTTTTTAAAGTTGAATAATGTTCCATTGTATGTATATACTACATTTTGCTTACCCGTTCATCTTTTGATAGATATTTGGGTTCTTTCTACCTTTTGGCTCTTGTGAATAACACTGCTTAAAACTTTTTGCTTTTACTTAATGGAAAATTCCAAACATATAGAAAAGAAGACAAAAAAAATACAATGAACCTCGATGTACAATTATCAACTCATCAACAATTATCAACTGATGGCCAATCTTGTTTCATCTATAGCCCCACCTAAGTCCTCCACCCCATATTACTTTGAAGCATATCTCAAACATAGATATACCGTTATTGTTTCCATTTTACAGATGGGGAAATGAAGGCACAGAGAGCTGAATTATCTTACCAAATTTCAGAGTTTATAAGTGATGGGGCCAGGATTTAAACTCAGGCAGTGTGACAGCTGAGCCCATACTCATAAGTCTTTGCTACAGCTGTGTGGATGTGTGTTCACATATATACACACATGCATCAGGTCAACTTTGGGCAAAATTGTACATTTGGAAAAGTTTTCCTCTTCCTACATCTTTTCCCACACTTGGATGCCATGTGGAATTTGCAACAGATAGGCATGAGTCTGAAGTCTTAGTTCTTAGTCACAAGTAGAGTCAGTGATCCCCAGCCTCCAGAGTTGTTGTGAGGATTATATGAGATAAAGTCAGTGAAAGTGCCAGGCACCTCCTAGCATGTGCAGGAGATCATTATGAATGCATTCTTCTCCCCTCCTCGGGGGTGCGGGTGGGGGGCAGGCCCACCTTCTCTCTAAAGAAGTGGACCTCAAAAAAAACATGTACTATCAGAATAACTGTCAAATGTCAATATGTAACCACTGCTGGGGGATTTGTGTTGTAAAATAAAGGATTTTATCTTTTTGCCTTGTGGTGTGGTGCGGGGTGCGAGTGAATACAGAACAGAGGTGAAGCAATTACTTCTTGCCCCGGAAATCGTGTAAATGAGTGTATGCATGTATGTGTACTGCACAAATGTGTAAGACAGGCCCCTGGATAAGTTCAGGTTTCATTCTCTGCACAGAACATTACACTGTCTTTCTTTTCTATAAGGAATTGTGACCCTGAAACAAGTAACTACTTTTTCTATCTCCTTTTCCTCTTTTTGGCTAAAACAGGATCAAAAGTATTTTGTTGGGACCCCCTGTCATTTTTCTGGCCCAAGGATACAAAGCCACAGGATGGAGGTCTGAGCTCAGACAGATCTTGGCAAGCCCAGCTCATCCCCTTGTAAACCTCTGTGGCCAGGCCCTTTGGGTTAATTTGGGAGAGCCTGCAGACTCAGTGGACAATTGAGCAGGACCCACAGGCTGACCACAAAGAAGTCTCAGGTAACCTCCAAATGCATCTGCAGAGGAGGCTGGAGGGGCCTACTGCCTCAAGTACATTAAGTGATGGTTAGCAAGAGTCGGACTGGCTGTGTCCTCTGCCTGCAATGCCCTTTTCGATCTTGCCCATGGAAGTAACATAATCCTTTAATGCCAAGCTCATATACTGCCTCCTCCATGAAGCTTTCTCTAGATCCCCTCTCACCTCCCACCCCCATCCATCCCTGGCTGCCATACAGAGTGATTTCTCTCACTCTGAACTCTGTGGCATCACTTTTATACCCTTTGAGGCACTTTTATTGCTTTATTTTTGTACTCCCTGAATACCAGTCTTAACTCCTTGATGGAACAAAGTGAGTTCCTCGAGATCAGGAATCATTTCATCTATTTCTTTGTACTCTTCTGAGCTGTTCTCAGGACACACCATCAGCAACCAATAAAATCTGTTGAATAAATGATGTATCTCGCAACAATGGCACACAGTAGGCCTCAGGAAATGCATGCTGAATGAAATAACATCCATCCCCATACTGGGAAACATAAGTCTTTTTACCCTATCTTGATGTTCAGATGGAAAGTAGTTTCATATAACCTTTCAGGCTCTAAAATCTGTCGAAACTTCCAAGGAAATAACTGTAAAAACTGCCTTGAGGGAGCACCTGAGATGGTCTCAATTGGGGTTTCAGGTATGCTAATATCCCAAAGTGTGTCCTTTTTCTTTGTCTGTCTGTTTAATATCCCAACTGGTCTCCAGAAAACCTCGAAGGCTCATAAGGTGGAGTCCACGTGTGATGATTTAAGATAGTCTCAATTAGAACATCCGATTAATTGAAATTTCCTGCTCATCAGCAGCATGATTACTGATATTTGTAGCAGTGACCCTGCAGTCCTCCAAGAAACCGAAATACATCATTTAAAGAAGTGTTACAATATCTTCAGAAACATGCTTTTTAAAAACAATTTAAACCATTTGGAAATGGACAATTCAGTGGCATTAAGAACATTCCTGGGGCCAGCCCCGTGGCCGAGTGATTAAGTTCGCGCCGCTTCAGTGGCCCAGGGTTTCGCAGGTTTGAATCTGGGCGCAGACATGGCACCGCTCATCAGCCATGCTGAGGCGGCATCCCACATGCCACAACTAGAAGGACCCACAACTGAAAATACACACCTATGTACTGGGGGGCTTTGGAGAGAAAAAGGAAAAATTTTAAAAAAAATCTTTAGAAAAAAAAGAACATTCCTGTTGCTGGACAACCATCTCCAGAACTTGTCATCATCCCACACAGAAACTCTGTACCCATGAAACTGTAACTCCTCATACGTCCTCCCTTCAACCCCCGGTAATCTCTATTCTACTTTCTGTCTCCACGAATTTGCCTATTCTAGGCACCCCGTATGAATGGAATCATATACTATTTGTCCTTTTGTGACTGGCTTACTTACATAACGTCCTCAAGGTTCATCCATGTTGTAGCATGTATCAGAATTTCATTCCCTTATGGCTCAATAATATTCCACTGTATGTATATACCACATTTGTTTATCCGTTCACCTGTCAATGGACATTTGAGCTCTGTTGCCCTTTTGGCTATTGTGATAATGCTGCTACGAACACAGGTGTATAAATATCTGTTCAGAAGTATGCTTTTTATCATAGACTTGTTCTTATTCTCATAGGTGAACATGATATCCATGGTAACTTCCCACTAACCAGAAAATTTGACTAATATGCCATTCCACCATTAGGCTTGATAAGGACTTTTCTTGGAAGATGTGGTGGATGCACAATAGACAGCGATAGGAATGACGCCTCTGTCTCATAGATGGACACGGGCCACAAGGAGGCAGATGACTGGGCCACAGTAGCACATTAGTAATGTGCCCAGCACATTAGCATGGACAGTCAGATCTGCATTAAGAAACTCCACTCCACCCCCAGCCTCACCCTGACCATGTCACTGTTCTAGCTGGTAGACTGGGCTGCTTTTCCAAAAAGGTACGAACTTGAGGAACATTTGTTCTGAATTAAACTTGGCTGCAGTTAAAGTGTTATCATGTATATGAGTTCAAATTACAGAGGCCTCCCTTGGCCAGTGAATGGCACAGCACGGCTGCTCAGAGAGGTGGAAAATTCTGAGGCCCCCTCCAGCACTGTTTCAGGAAAAATGCTCTGAGTGGTGTGGAGAGGGGCCAGCTGGTGATGTCAAGGGATTTATAAAAGAGATTACAAGACCTTTGAAGGGAATGAGGCAGTTACTAATGATGGAAAACTGCTAAAGCTGGATCTGGATAACGCTCAACACTTAATTTGCTAGTTATCCTGAAATGCTTGTATTTTTAAAAAACATATTGTGCCACTCCCTTTGTGTGTAGTTCAAGAGACAACATTACAGTACTGTGAGAAGAACCTGTTATGCTAATCAAAGTCTGGGGTAACTGAAACTGAGCTTGCTGAACACAGAAAGCCCAAAGTGGGCAATCCAGGACCCGGCAGGGAAAATTAAATGCCCAAACACACCTGGATGCACTGTACATCTATATTTTCCCTTCTTCCTTGTTTTTTGGGGTTTTTTTCAAAACACACTGGTGGGGAGTCTGGATGATGCCTTATTTTTTAAGCAGCAACAAAGCTGCTTAAAAGCTTTACACCTCCAAAGAGAGATCTGAAAATATTTACTTATATTGCATTTCCAAGTGTTTCCATAGTCTTTTCACAACCCTCCTGTCATCTTATCTTAAGAATGCGCGTTTTATAAAGAGGAACCAAAATCAATTACAATGACAGGATAGATTTAGTTGAGCAGACAAGCTTAAACTTTAATAGCTGGGCTTACTTTGGGATTTAAATAGATAACTAATGAAAATAGTCCCAGTTTTAGGACTAGAGATCTAAGTTTGCAGGGGTAAAAGTGAGGGCCTTAAAATCAATTTTTGGCAGAGCTGCTAAACTTCTTTGCCATATGGAGCACTAAACAAATGAACAAACAAACAAATAAACCAAACAAAACCAAACAAAGGACCATATAACTAATACTCAAATTGTCCCCAGTAAAAAGGCCCAAAAAAGTGGGCTGGAAGCAAGAATTAAAAAGCATGTGGAAGTGAGCAAAGTGGAGGTACTTTGGGACCTATGATCCTGAGGCATAATTGGTTGCAGCTTTATCTGTTTTCTTCACTCTTTATCTGCGGGTACAGGAGAACAGTGCAAAGACTATATACTCTTAGAACATGGAAAATCCAATTGTCTGCTTTAGCGCCAGACATTTTTCAATTGTAGCTTAAATAAAAGGGTCAGGGAACATACTTGTTTTCTATTCTATTTGGGGGGAGGGGTGGTAGGGGAGTAATCTTTCTGAATTAGCACCCTGGGTCACATCCAGTTCAAACATTTCCCATGGAGTGAGTCATCCCAGCCTGGTGTTGAAGGCATCCCCTGCTGCTTCCAGACTCACTGCCAGGCTCATCACCAACTGCGCTCCAGTAGGAAGCTCTAGCCTGTAAGCCTACCTCCTCACGGTCCCCTGAAGACACTGTGCAGATTCTCCATGTCTTCTGCCTTCCTCCTGCTGTGTTATTAAAATCCTCTTTTTCAAGCCCAACTCAAGCCTCACCTCCTTCTTGAAGTCTTTCGGGACTACGCCAGTCACTACGATCTTTCTCTTTCCCTTACCTCCCATGACACTTACAAATGGTGCCTTTGATTTTTATACGTAGATCTACCTAGATTACCTCCTGGCTTAAAGGTGTTCATCTCATTAAGGGTGTTACCTCTGTTATTTGCCCTGCTGCCTCTGGGAATTACAGCAAGAATAGGCGTTAAATATGATCTTATTGTCTTTGACCAAAAGGCTTTTTGACCAAAAGCTGTCGAATCAATAAATATTTCTTGCCTGAAATATTAAGCAGGGCCAAGAAACACAACTATTAACTTTAACTTGAAAAATAATCTTCTGAATTAGAAAAGCAGGGGATGTTTACACTATCCAGGAGAGATTATTAGAAGAATCTCCTTGAGAAATGGAGCTCGAACCCTGTCAGAAACCCAGTCTTCTTTCTCCAACACAAAATTCTTCAGACCTTGCTCCTTTCTCTAGATCTCCTAATTCCTCACAAGTTTTTCAGGGGAAAGAAAGCTGTTAGGTAGCCTGCAGACCCTCTGAAAATGGCCATAACCTGTGATACTGTTGGTTTGTTTGCCTTTCTGGTCCAGGGATGTTGGGGAAAGGTACAAAAGGAGCCCCAGCGACTGCTTCCCACTCAACTGGCTTCCTTCCTTCTCTAATTTGTCTGCACTCACAAGCTGTTGAGGAAAGATTGGAACCCAAAAGGCATTCCCATTTGGAAGTCAATTTGAAAGAACACTCAATTTATAAAAACATAATATGCATAATTTTGTAGACAGAGAAGCTTACCTTTAAAACAGAAATAAACGCCTCAATAGGAATTGTGGCTTGCCTTTAGTATAGGGCATAAGTGGGGGGAGTCAGTTACAATTAAGGGAAAAAAATAGGCAGGCCAGCATCAGAATATGCAATACCTTTTAGAATACGCTTTCTTATGGGGCAAACATCTCAAATTATTGCTTTATTACTTACATGATAAAAGATCATAATAAGCCAAACTTGGAGTAGAGACCATTAGTGATAAAGGATGCTATTTTTCTTTTTTGTTTTCTGCAAAGAAATCACTTAATATCTTTATCACCACCTTGTAAAATGGGCTAATTTCTAACTCCGTATGCCTCAGGGAGACACTGTCAGGTAAAAATGGTGCCATGGGAGGAAATCATTATGTTGTTAATATTTAATATTATTTACACAAAGATGTTGTGAGTTCTATCCATGTGTGTATCTGAGCAGTATTGAGAAAGCTGACAAAGTCCTTGTTCTTCGTTGGTTATACTCAAGCAGGGATTCCTAGGATTTATTGCGTTGAGCTACCCAAGTTACTTCCCTCTCTCAGCCTCAGTCTCCTCAGCTGTAAAGTGGGAATACTGACAGTACCGACCTCATACAGTCAAGTGAGACGATGCGCAGGAAGCGCTTAGCATAGCACAGCAGGCATTTTACGACCAAAAGCCAATTAATTTCCTCAGTTACAAATATGTGCTACATATACAGTTTGCTGTCAACTTATTTATAAAGCATCGCTGTGTGATGAAAAGATTACTGAGTTAGGAGCTCTATTCTATAGTGATGACTAGGCAAATTAATCAATCTCTCCAGGTTTCTATTTCTTTGTCTTTATAATGAAGGAGCTGGATTAGAGGATCTCTGAGTAACTTCAGTTCTAAAGTTCTGTGATTTAGGATTCTTTTCACTTCCTTTCTTTTTGAAGATTGGCACCTGAGCTAACATCTGTTGTCAATCTTTTTTTCTTCTTCTTCTCCCCAAAGCCCCCCAGTACATAGTTGTATATTCCAGTTGTAGGTCCTTCTAGTTGTGGCATGTGGGATGCTCAGCAGGGCCTGATGAGCCATGTCATGTCTGCGCCCAGGATCCAAACAGGCGGAACCCTGGGCCACTGAAGCTGAGCACGCGAATTTAACCACTTGGCCACGGGGCCGGCCCCCTCAATTCATTTTTAAATAAAGTTTTAATGAAATTTAACACAGGAAGTATTGTCTGCTTTAGCAATTTATATGTTAATGAAATGCACTTCAGATTAAAATTGCATTATGCAATATTTAAAATACAGAAAGATTTGGAAAATGATGCATGTACCTGTCATTCACTTAAGAAATAAAACTTCATTTTCCAAAAAAAATAGATGATTTGGAAATGCTGCGGGTGAAATTCAATTATATTTAAAGGTACAAAAATAAGATTGAAATCACTGCTTAATAGAAGGAAATAATTTAGTTGCCCATTGTTTCTGAAAAAAAGGTGTTTTTATGTCTGAGTGCCTCTGACGTTACACTAGTGGAGGCCAAAGCAGAGAACAGGCCTCTCCTTTTTGGAACATTTCATCTAACTAAAATGCAATGAATACAGTTTAGCAACAATACACACCTAAATCAACCATCGCCCCTGAAGTTGATATGCTCTCATTTGCAATGAGAAGCCTTTTATGGCAATCCAGGCCATGATGGAAACACCTCTTGACATAGCATTGGATTCAAATTCTGGCTCCTTTCCTTTCTAAGTGTGTGACCTTGGGCAAGTTATGGAACCCCTCTGGGCCTCAGTTTCTTCATAAAATGGGGCTAACCTTAGGGTTGTTGTGAATATTAAATAAGATTGAGCTAAGGCTCTAAGAGCAAGGCCTGACACATGGAGAAAGCTCATGACTATTAGCTATTTATTATTACCCAATTCCATAAATAATTATTGGATTTCTACTATATAGAATCTCTGTACCAGACACTGAAATACCTTTGGGGCATCAGCATTTTGTGTCTGATCTCAAACAATGTGTTACAGAGTTAGATAGAAATTCTGGTAAATTCAGCAGTCCAGTGGGACCCAAGTTAATCTAGAAAAAAGGCTGGCTGGAGTCAGAGGGCTTTTTAAATTCAGGCGAGGATATGAAATGGAAATGAATAGTTACTTAAGGTCTTGCCTTTAAGTTGAGTTCCTGTGCCAGGTCTCAGAGAGCGCATTACGATGCATACTAAAGCCCCCTGACATTCAAAGAGTCAAACATGCCTGATTAGACTTTCATGTCCTGTATCTATAAAAAGGTTATCGGTGCCTTTTCTCAGTGCAAATTATTTTTGGCTCTTACTAATTTTATGAATATAATAAAGTCCGTACAGCATAATGTATGTGATTACTTTGTTCCAGTCATCAGCTTGCTTTTATTTAAGGACAAATCCCAGAAGATGCTGCATCTTGGCCCATAATTTCAGCAGATAGGGAGTAGGCAATACATAGGAAAGGACAATTGTACTTTAGCACTATGGGACAAAAAGAGAAGCAAATCATGGCAATAAAGCATTCTCTTATACTATCAATTTATCACGAAATGATGTAGGAAGACATGCCTTTGCAAACAATTTCATTGTGATGCTTCCTGGTGACCCCAAGCCTTGCCTATACAACAAGCAATCAATGTTTGGTTTGCAATTGCAAACCTTGGTGGAGTGCCCACAGGGCATTAAAAGCGGGTTTAAGGTGAATTCAACAGGAGCTGACCATTTGTTCAGTGACATCAGGGTGGACTGGCTTTGGCACCGGCCTGTTTGGTTGCTTTTGGTGACTTTGGGGTAATATTAAGGAAATCGTAGCGTCATGTACCTCTCTCTATGGGGTTTTGACAGATACTGAATATTTGGTCACTAACTCCTCCTACCGCCCCTTCATTTGCACATTTTTCACAGTTAAGAAACTGAACTATAGTTTATAACCCTTCCATGATACCATCTCTTTTAAGTTTGAAATAATTAGGCAACTTTTCTCAAAAACTCTTGATGTAAAGGAGAAAAGCGAATGTCTCTTAATAACAGGCATCTTGAACTCAAGCACTTCTAAGATAGAAAGAATACTCTAACAGCCAGAATTAACTTGGAACCTCATGTATCCTACCCAGTACAGAAGGTTGTTGGAGCAGAATAAAAAGTTCTGGATTCTTTGTCCCTAGGTATCCTTTTTTGCCTACCCCACTTCCACAAGGCTGAGGCTTTTAAATATTAAAACATCCCAAAAGGCATCCCTCCCCCGCTATTACACAAGTCACAAATCACTGCTCAAAGGAACAAAATGCGCCTGCGATAGTCCCCCATTTGGGTGCAGTCTTGATTCTGCAGAAAATGAAACTCAGAATTCATGATCTGGATATATTTGGGCCCGGACTTGGGCCTTCCTGCTAAAACATAAAAACCAAAACAATCCACACCGCCCCTCGCCACCCCAAAAACAAAAACAAAAACGCCCAGGCGCTGCGGCTGCTAACTCTTAGCAGCCCGGCTCACAATTTGACTGCAACGAACAAAACAGGACTGAGCCCGGCTGCGTCCGACCCCGGCCTCCGGGCGCCAGGCCGAAGTTCCCCGGGCCGGGCTGCAGGCGGCGCGGGCACGGCCGGGCGCGGGCTCGCGGGGACTTTCACCTGCTCGGCGGGCAGCGCGGGGGCGGCCCGGCGGCGGGCGGGGCCTCGGCGCCCCGCGGGAGGAGCCGGCCCGGGCCCGCCCCGCAGGAGGAGCCGCTCGCCCGCGGCCGATCCGGCGTCTCCGTGACAGGCAACCCCGCCGCCGCCGCCGCCGCCGCCGCCGGCTTTTCTTCCTCGTCCCGGGCCGTCCTCGCCCTGCTCCGGGGCCGCGCCGCGCCCAGTCCCGCTCGGGGCCGCGCGCCCTCCGTCCCCTCCCCGGCCGGGCGCCGCGCCGCCCACTCCCGCGCGCCTCGCCCGCCGCCCTCCTCGCCGGCAGGAATTGCGCGGCCACAGCGCCGCTCGGTCGCCCGCATCCGCGCCGCCGGCCTCGGCGCCGCTTCGTGTCCCGGCTCCCGCGGCCCCGGTGCGGCCAGGGCGTCCCCAGCCCGGCGCCCCTCACTCAGCCCGTGCTTCCTCCACGCGCCGTCGCGCCCGCCTCCCGCCTCCCCTCCCCGGGGTCTCGCCAGCCCCTTCCTGCCGCCGCCGCCTCCGGAGGAACGGGTCCACCGCGGGTCACCATGCCCAGCAAAACCAAGTACAACCTTGTGGATGATGGGCACGACCTGCGGATCCCCTTGCACAACGAGGACGCCTTCCAGCACGGCATCTGCTTCGAGGCCAAGGTGAGGGGGCCACGGTGAGGTCCTGCGCGGGAGGGGGCACGTCTGAGTGGATGGGATGCACAGCCATCCTGGACGCAGAGCTGATGGGTTAGGCTGATTTGGGGGCCTTTCTGTCAGGGAGGGTGACTTCCCTTCTCAGTATAGAATTCCGCGGGCTCCTGCCCAGAACTGCCAAAGAGCACCTGCAAAGTTTGAGCGGCATTGCTTTACCCCCTCCCCCACCTGAGACTCCCCCATCCTTGCCCGCCTGAGACTGATGGAGTTACTTCCCGGGTCCCTCTTTCTGAGGAGGAGAAGCTGGTGAGTGAGCACAGCCTGGATGTGGTTCTTAGAATAGGTTTAGGGAAGCCCTGGTGTTATTTACCTGCTGGGATCCCATGGAGAGGTGCTTTCAGGAAGGTCTTTTAAAGGGGAAATTCCCGCTTCCTGATGGAGGAAAATAATACAGGGGTGTGTTTTTCGATTCCAGGTAATCAGGTCTAGGTGTCAGAGTCACTTCCCAAATGCCTGATTTGCCACGACTCTTGCAAGTGCCGGTCGTTGAAAGGTGGTGGGGAGTGAAAGCTGCCCATTTGCTAGTTTTGTGGCGCAATGTTGTTAGGGAACCGGTGCTGGAGAATTTAGCAGGGATGACTGGAATTTTCAGCGCTGAGACCAGAGCTCCGGGTCTTGTGGGAGGGGGCGGGGCGGGAGCCTCTGTGCTGGACCATCAGGTGTGAATAAGGCTGGCCCCGTGTGATGCGCTTCCCAGAGTGAGAACTTATGGTTTCTGAAATTACAGCTGGGGTTCAGCTGCCCATTCCCTGGGAAAAGTGCTTGGGCTCTTCCTTCATGCCACTTGACACCACCCCTCTCCCCCGGTGCCATAAAGACCGGGGGACGCTAGCACCTTCAGTGTGCCTGTCACTGATAAGTGATGGAAATATTTCCCTTCCAAGTCGATTGTGTCTTGCTGGTTTTGGAACGGAAGTTTTTTCGTATGGAGAGATTTTACACTTCGTTCCCTTTTTCTCCTTCGTGACTGTGTAGATGCAGGCAGTTAGCATCTCATGCAAGGATTATTCCATCAGGTGGCTATTCCCTTCAATTTGTGACATATCTTTTGAGTGTCTGATGTGTGCCTAATGAGGTTAGCTATCTTAAGATCTTTTCCTTCTCATGGAGATGTGTGAGTTGGTGAGTCTTACCATTTTTTTTCCTGAATAGCTTCCCCACCCATATTTGCTAGAGCTAGAAGGACACCCCTTGTCCCCCTAGACATCAAATCCTGCAGTGGAATGCAGAGCTGAATTACTGGGTATGGCTGGGACCAGAGTGGGGCTGTAGCCAAGATCTTATCTTGCTTCTCTCAGAGTAGATCTGGATGGTCTGAGATGGGATGTTTGGGTTAAATTTTGTCCGGGCCTGTTGCTTTGGTGAGCAGGTTTTTTAAAGTATGAGTTTTTATCACAGTCATGATTTAATTTTCATGGGCATACTTAAACTGGGAAATTGGCTTTTGTCTTGTTTGGCTCACCAGTGCTCTGCTTTGCAAGAATGAGGGTAAGAAGAGAGATCAGAATTAAAGTGATTTTAAGCCTTTTTAGTCTTTTCTCACAGTCTGCATTTGGTCCCAACCAGGTCTCAAACCCTGGCATGCACAAGACTCACCAGGTAAGGGCATGAAGTCTGATTCTTGCCACCCACAATTCTAACTTGATACATCTGGGGGAGGCGGGGGCTGTATACCTTTCACGACCTTCCAGGTGACTTAATGCAGGTGATCGTCAGACGGAGAAATGCTGGTACTGAGGCTTGCTTCCGACTTGCTGGAGCTTACCCTCCCTTTCCCAACATGCAGTTTCTTTTCTTAAGCGAATGTCTGGGGGCTGCGGGATAAGTTCTATAGTAACTTCCCTGAATTCACAGACAGTGGTGCTGGGTAAGAGGAGGGGAGCCACGGTTGGTCTAGGCAGCGTTCCCAGTGCAGATCTGAAACACAGGGGACCCAGGGTTCTGCTTTGAGAGTGGGAGGTAGAGAGGAAAGGACAGGGCTGACTTTGAGGACTGATTCCTAACGCCCAGCTCTTTGTAATTGATGCTGGACACCAGCACGTTCAAACCACGTCAGCCAGGATCTGAGCAGAGAAGCAGAAGCTCTTCTGTCCCATGTGTACCCGGCGAGCACTCCTCGGACTGGTTTCCACCTCCCTCTAGAGCAGCGTCCGTGGAACTGCCATCACTGGGATTTCAGGGTTAAATCCACTCCACACTTGGCCAGTGTTTTGGAAAAGCACAGGCTGTAAAATAGAAATGTATTATTGCTGCCTTGTCAGATAGCCTTGGAAAATGAGCCCAGGTCCTTCTCTCCCAAGGGCTGGCGGTTTTTCAGAATCAACACTGTATGGAATGACTCTTTGCATGGATGCTGCTCATTTTCAGGGTTCTGCAGAGATTGAAAGGGTATAGGTTTGGTTGAAGGGCATCTGGGTGTCAGAGGTTCTGTGCGTTGAATTATCAAGCAGCATCCTAGATGTTTTTCACCTGCCATATTTCATGTACTTCTCACTGCTTCCCCGGAGGTGGGTCTCCTTATGTCTTTTAAAGAGGATATAGGCTCAGGGAAGTTGCTGCTTGCTTTAGTGCACACAGCTGTGTATAGCAAAGCCAGGGTTAAAGCTGGGAGCTTTGACTTCAGGCTCCCAAATCCAGTGCTCATTTAATAATTTTTATGGAGTTTCATCTGTGTTGGGCAGTGGTCTGATTCTTGGCTCACCGGTGGGGCACCCTCAGGTTGCTGGCCTCTTGGACTCTGATGCAGGAAATTATTCAAACTTTTAATGCTGGGCTGTTTCAGATATCCCCTTGGGCTGGGAGCTGCTCCTAAGAGATACCCACTGTCCAAGTTCAGCAAGGGGACCGGCTCACTGATGGTTGCTGTTAGGTGGGTGGTAAAATCTCACTTGGCTTGAAAGCTTGTGTGCTCTGTGTACCTGCCTCTCCCTCTGCCAGAATGCCTTCCTGCTGGCTAGTGCCATCAACTGACTGTCTCTACTCCTGGATGAGAAGGAGACTTCCAATGATGATGATGCAAAGGACAGTAAGAATATTAATAACATGGTGATGATGCCTTCTATTTGTAGGTGATTTTCTTTTTTTGAGGAAGATTAGCCCTGAGCTAACTGCTGCCAATCCTCCTCTTTTTTCTGAGGAAGACTGGCCCTGAGCTAATATCCGTGCCCATCTTCCTCTACTTTGTATATGGGACGCCTGCCACAGCGTGGCTTGCCAAGCAGTGCCATGTCCGCACCTGGCAAAGCGGAACGTGTGCACTTAACTGCTGCACCACCGGGCCGGCCCCTGTAGGTGATTTTTGATTTGCATGGGACTTGCACATATGAAGGATTTTCCTTGTATGGAAGCAGGAACATTAGCGTTGTCTCCATTTTTCAGATGACAAAATTGGGGAGCAGAGAGATTAACTTGTCCAGAGTCTCAGAAGTGATAAGATGAGAAGATAATGATTATAGCTGATATTTAGTGAACACTTATTATGAGCCATGTATTGTTCCAGGTGCAGCCCCATTTAATCCTGGTCATGGTTCTTTTCCCTGATCCTGAAGTGGTTCTTCCTCTGTATTCATAGCACTCACTGCCTGGCCCATTCGCTGATACCTGCGTGTGTGGTACAGACTGTCAGAACTGGAAAGCACCGTAGCTCACTTGATTTTACAGATGAGGAAATTGAGGTCCAGAGGGGAAGTCATTGACCCAAGGTCACACAGCTAGATAAGAGCAGACTCAGGACTCCTCCCGAGTTTCTTGCCTCAGTTTGGTTTCAGTTCCCTATTGCTGCTTCATAAACTACCTCCAAACTCAGTGACTTAAAACAACATTGTTTAATTTGCTCATGATTCTGGATCAGGAATTCAGGCAGGGCTTGGCTGGGTTGTTCTTCTGTTGCATGTGGTGTTGACTGGATCACTCGGCTTCATTCAGCTGTGGCTGGACTGGGCTGGAAGGTCCTAGAAAGCTTCACTCACATGGCTGGTGCCCTTGGTGGTCCTCCATGTGGCGATTCTCTCCACTGGGTAGCTTGGATTTCCTCATAGCATGTTGGCCGTTTTATTTGGCAGCTGGCTTTCAAGAGGGAGCATTCCAAGCAGTGAAGGCAGAAGCTCTTAAGGCCTTGCCTCCAGAGTTACACAGGGTTGCTTCTCCCGCATTCTGTTGGCCAAAGCGGGCCATAGGCCAGCTCAGATTCTAAAGGAGGAGAAGTAGATTTCACTTCTTGATGGGGACTGTCAAGGTCACGTTGCAACAGTGCGCATGGGATGAGAGAGATTGCCAAAGCCGTCTTTGGATCCCAGTCTAACACAAAATTGTGTGTTCTTTCCCCTCTGTATATCCTTCTTTGACGATATCAAGTGTTTCTTGAGGACTTTGTCTTATGCTTCTTTGTATAACCCGCCCCCCCGCCAACATCAGGTACATGTATAGTCGGCAGTGACCGATTATTTGTCAAGTGGAAGAAATGACCAGTTGTAGAAATCTGAAAGCAGTAAATATATTGTCATATTGCTGAGTGAATTCGTGGTTTGGGAGTTCTTGGTCAAATCTGACCTGACTTCTCTGGCCATATTTCCCTCTTTGCTGAATGACTTCCCTGCTTGATGGTTTCCATGATGTGGATTTTAGAGATTCTAATAACCCCACATGGCAGGCTGCCTGTCGATGTCTCTTGAATATACTGTCTTGAGGGCTTCCAAATTAGGACGTTACCTACATCGGCTCACCATAAATGCGGTACTCTCACTCAAGCCTAAGCTTCTAGTCCGTGGTAAAGAGCTCTCAGAACCGACTCCACTATATCCTGGGTGTATGCACTCCTCACCCCACCCCAGACCAAGGGTCCTGTTTTCCAGGATTCTGGACCAGCAGGGCCTCAGATAGAGGATCTGGCGTATTCACTGATGTTATCCTTGACGTGGAGGTCTATTTCTCCTTATTATGTATTTGTC